GGAGAGAGCACTTGCATGTGATTTTGAGAGAATGAACCCACACTGTCTTTGCATTTCTCTGACCCACATTAAGTAATTTCTCCTTTATGGCTTTAAGATCACCTAGTCATTTTTAAATGTGACATTATCAACTGCTATTGACAATTTTGTCATGTTTTTTAAGATGACCAGATGAGACCACTAAAACTTAAAGGCATAGTTCAACATTTTAGAATGTACATGTATTCACTTTCTCACTGAGAACATCTCTGTCCAGCACCTCTAAAGTTAACAAATTAACACAGTACATCTAGGAATAGATGTGTTTCTCTGTAAATCAATAAAATGTATTTTTTTTATCATTTGAACAATGCCAGGTCAATGACTGGTCCCTAATCAACCAATCAAAATGAAGCAATCAACCCTAACTCTAAGAGAGAGTTTCAGGAAGCACACAATATGGCTTTGGTTCACTGACTAGACAGGAGGAGCATTAAGCTCCCGCTTCACTACTTACTACTTCTGGAGTGCAGGGGCTAATATATACAAACTCAATGTATAATAATGCCAATTTATGGTTTTACAGGGGGTTGTGTGCCAGTTTAAACCAAGTTAAACTGGCTGATGGCTCTAATTTCTTATTAAAGGGACATATATTGGCGTGGTTGCAATCTTTTCAACTAACTCTTGGCAAGAAAGCAAATAAGTGTATTTCCATAATGTTAAAATATTTTTAAAGCTATCCTATCTTAGAGCTATGCCATTCATTAATTCCTGCCTCTATGTGTCCACTCGCAAAAACAACAGCCAGCAGTCTTCCAAAGGTTCCCCCACAACACAAGAAACTGGGCCTTGGGTTCAGAGGTTCTGGGGGCTCAAGAGTGCCTTGTTTTACCAACAGTTCCAGTACTGCAACAAAAAGCAAGGCACATTGTTATGCAACAGTTTAGTGAGGATGAATTGGCTTCAGCACTGGCCTAATGATTGCCAGTGGAGATGATGGGAAGAGCATAGCAGCCTGGTTAATCCCAGAGGGAGTCCCCTTGGGGCCTGTTGGTTGAATGTCTATCAAAGCTGGAGAAGGAGCAAAAAAAAAAAAGGTGGCTGGGTTGTGTGGGTACAGCAGAGGAGCAGGCTGATACATCCCTGCAGCCACAACACAAGGTCTAGGCACAACTCCCCCCTCATTTTCCTCCTTTGCAACCTCTCAACTGCTAATCTTCCCTTAACTTCCTCCTCTGCTCTCCACCAGCATGGCCACCCTGGGGCACTGAGCCAACAGTCCCACTGTCTCTGTGTGGGTGACATCACTGGTTGGCAGAGAGAGGCATGGCGTGGATAATTAAGTTTAGATGGTTGAAGTAATTGTGTGTTTGTGTGTGTGTGTGTGGTGATGTAGAAGGGAATTTGCAAGGCTTTACTCAACATGAAGCACATAGATGTTCCAATCAATATCTAATGAAAAGCAAGTGAAGTTATGCAGTTTATTCAAATACTTTAGTTGCAAGGTTTTATTCAATTCATATAAAATAAATTACACTGCATTTAATAGTATGCTCATTCAACTTCAAGCAACAAAATGAAAACCAAAGAATTAATTTTGATGGATTTACGTGACAGAGAGTGTGTGGTTGGTTTTGGAGTTAAGTGTGATGGTGGGGGAGGCCCTGCCTTAATAACTCACTATAGACTCCATACATGACCACCCCAGTAAAGCCCATTCGTTCACCACGCTTTGTGCTATACACACAGCCTACTCTGGGAGAAACCTTCGTGTGTACGATGCGCTTTGTCAACTTCTATTTAGTGGGTTCTTTACAGCAGACCCAACCCTTTGAATATTAACTGTGTGATCACTCCTACCACACAAGCAGTCGCTTGGACCCCCTCTGTTAATGCAGCTCCCCTGCATTCTGCTCCAGGGCTTTGTGCCCAGCCATAGTTTGGTGTACAGGCTCTTGTGGTCTCTCATCTGCAAGTTAAGGACTTCCTTCTCTTCCCTGACATCATTTATGAGGTGCTTGATTCATTTTACATACTGTATTAGAACAGTCTAAACTAGGGATAAAAGATAAGCGGAGTCTTATATTTCACAAAAAAGAGACAAAGTGGCAGAGAAAAACAAAAAGGAAGAAAGGTGGCTGTGTCTATGTTGCTGTATGCCATTGTGTTAGCATGAACCTCTAGTGGAGTGTGGCTATAGCAGTAGCTGGGGCAAGAAGGTGACTGACTGATGGTGGGACAGTCTGGGCTAGTGTTTTTGCAGGCCAGTAATCCCCTTTATTGAGTCTCAGGAAATCCTAATTGGAGTTGGAAGTGGCTCTAGTGGCCAGATGTGTGAAGACAAACAGAGTCAACCCAACCCCCAAGGACAACTGACCACGAGCACCTACCACCCGTGTCAGTTTAGTTAAAACACAGGGTGCACACATAATATGGAAGAACAACTGACCACAAGAACCTCCACAAACATCCCCTGCACCACAGCTGGGGAATTTAACCTTATGACAACAACACAACAGATACATATGTGTGCTCACATGCACATGCTAAAAATGCTTTCGTAGTAGACAGCGTGGTAAACGCAGCCACGTGTCAGCTGTAGTTAATTAGGTCTCTATTAAGTTCAGAAGAGTTGAAGCCAGTACTGTTGCAAAAGCACAGTCAGTGTACAGGGAGCCTAAAAACAGAGAGAAATCAAGAAAAATAACTGCTAAACACACATTCCTGTTCTGACAAAGAAATGAACCCCATTCCCCTCCCTAAACCCCCCCCCCAACAGTAAGGACATGTTTCCTGTGTCTTTTCTATAACATATATATGTTGTATGGGAGTTGTATGTTGTATGTATGGGAGTCATTATACTCAAAGTTCTCACATATGGAGTAGTCATGTATGAGTTAGTGTGACTGCAGATGTGCTTGTGCTTGAATTTGAGAGCAAGATGCTGAGAGTGTGTCTGTGTTGTCTGTCTGTTGCTGTCTTTCCTTATCAGGCTGATGGTCTGACCAAAGCCAGAGATACTTGTCAGACCGTTTTGGATAACTACATGTGATCTGAGTGCAGCTGGGAAACCAAGACAGATCTAAGGAAGCTGGGTTTGATTAGGAATACCTCCCCAGACCTACTGTCCCAGACTGGGATCAGACCCAGGTGTATGCGTGTTTGATCACACACATGCAGACATTTTGTCCATGAATGTGTCTTAATACCCCTGCAGAATCACAGTCACAAGTGACCTATTTAATTCACCATGAAAGTAGTCAAGACTCAGGAGGCAGACCAGACTCACTAGAGGCAGGATAAAACAAAACTTCCATGTGGTTGTATCAATAGTTTTACAACCACTTTAACATGCTATATACTGTAAATCTGGACAAAAACTCTAATGCACAGATTTCTCTACATCTGGATTTATTTCTGCATTGTGTAAAGTTATTTGCAGCAGAGGCCACTGTATAAAATTTGATCACCAAAGGTACTGCGTATAGCCTTCACCTTTACATAACCCTTCTGGGACTTCAAAGTGAGATTAAGAAGGAGAGCTGGCAAAGGACTAACACTTGCTGCATGGCTGCATACCCCACCAACCTAAGCTAAAGCTTCTAAAGGGTTGTTGGCATTGGGGTCTTATGTGTTAATCCTTCCTTCCCCATTCAGGAGAAAAGGTAACGAGGTTCTTCAGCGCATCACAGAGATGTCACGCTAGTGATCGACTAATTTCAAGACATTTTTCTGTATGGTTGATCAAGAAGAACACTTGTTTCTTCCCACAAAAATGTTTATGAAGCGTAATTTGACTTGAATGCATAGCGTTCCTCTAACACTCTCACAAATCTTACACATGAACACCCCCATGAGCATTCATTTACTGAAGAATGGACAAAGTGAAGCACAGGCAATGAGACTCACAGTGATACAAAGGGGAGACTGAGTGGGAGTAGGTCTGTAAACACATCACAGACTATTTTGTCTCATTGCATTTTAACCGTCTTGGAGAACCAAGTGAGGGATGCCAAGTTAACTTCTTACAAGTCATTAATCACTATTGCAGTGCCCACACTGCATGAATGCTGGCATAATATGTAGAATTGTCCAGGGTTGTTCAGGTCCTTTATTGGCAATAAAGCTGCCTTCTCTCAGCGGTGGCATTTCCTTGTATTCTAAGAGGTGCACTGTACTCTCAGATGTGAGTGACGAAAGTCAAGTTTCCTGAGAGAGGTTTATTCTGGCACCGGCACACTATATCATTCTCTGCTTTATATTACAACAATAGCCAAATCGTCAGGGTCAAAACTCCCTAATTACTGCAGCTCCAGAAGTGATGACAACTGCCTGTCAGCATGGCCTGTGAAAGGGGCTACCTGAGTCGAATTTGGGAGCAGCAGGTGACATGGGCCAGGAGAGCTCCAGCACCTCAGATAAAAGGTCATTGTTATAAGCCTACATCCCAGCACCTGGGCCGTTTCAGCACCGGAGAGGGACTTCTAGCCTCTTGACTTTCACCTATGCCTGGTTGAGGAAGTGTTGTCATCATTTCCCATGTCTGATAGTAATCTGCCCCCCTCTCAGTTTCTCAATGGCATACTCATCTTAGCCTGATCAAGGCCTTCTGCACCAGTTACAGATCAGATGTCTTCCCAGTACAATGATTAGCCTAAAATAGAGACCTATCAAGTTGTCATTATGTACTCTTGACAACAAGCTTCCATGTACAGTCTTATCTGGACTTGACAAACATTATTTAAAAACCCTGTATATAGTATTAAGGGCATTAATACATTTTTCCCTAAAGATTAGAGGCACACAGGAACTGAAAATTTAGGGTTATTGATTTTGTTAATGAGGTTAACATTGTTTAATCTTTTTCAACTTGGAAAACGTATCAGAAAATCAAAGTGGGGAAAAAAGCGGGGTTATTATCGACGGTAGGCAACTCCCACCTAAAGACCTCACATCTCCCAGTAGGGAAACAGGGAGGATACAACAGGACCATGTCAGCTTGCGGGGGCGCGCCCGCGCGTTCCTAAACTGGAAGTTTCACTGCAAGTCGAGAAAGACAGGAGGACTCCTGCGAGTGGGGCGGCACAAGTTACCGGGAAAAGAAGGAGATACAACAGAGAAATAAACGAAAGATGGTGTTTGAATCGAGTATCTACCGAAGACTTTTTGTTAAATTATAGTGTCGCTTGTTGGTGTTTGTGGAGTTACCTGACTGGAGAAGTGCGGGCTCGTCGTCAACGGCAGGTAAGTGAAATAACTTCACCGGGTTGTCCAGTGTCGAAGCATTACTTTTTGTTTTGGTAAGCTTCAACTGAGGTACAGGTTTTTAGGTGAACCTAAAATTCACAGGGACAAACTACCGGTTAGAACCAGTTGTGTCATTTAAAAAATGCTGTATTAAACTTCATCTATGGTGTCATGTTCGTTGCGCATTTTTCTTTGTTTGATTACTTTTCTTATTTCCCCGCGTTCTTGAGCATCAACATTTGTCAGATGATTTTATACAGATGAGATACATCACTGTCTATGATGGAGGCTGAGGTCAGCGGCGCGCTCCCGCGTCTTTCGGTGGAAACAGCTTGGCAATCATGCGTATCCCTGAAAAGTTTTCCAAAAGTTGTGAGTCATGTTAAGAGCGCGCGAGAGGATGCGATCATGTGTTTTTTGGAAAAAATGCAAAGCTATGCCATGATTTAAGACTTCCCCTGCACCAGACACCTAAAACCTTCTG